CACTAGCCCTTGTTGAGCCGGCGGCAGAAAGGTGAGTCGCCGCCACGCCTCAACCTGTCTGAGGTAAGATCTTGCGGACGACCCCACTTCCTCGTCATCGCCGCCACTGAACACAGGCACTGACAACTTTTCGGAAGGCCGTGGATTGCCCCCTTTCGCCGCTCCGTTGTCAGAACCTCCACTGCCGAGATTGCTCCCAGACTCGAAGTGCTTCCATCCACTCCACACCGGGGCGGTGTAGGGTGCCACGTCTCCCCATTGACCATGACGATGAACTTCGGGATAATCGTGCCACGCGGGTCCCCTAGCTCTTCCATCTGCCCAGGGATCTTGCCAAACTCCTTCGTAATCATCGCGTTCTCGGAGAAGACCTCGGCCTCCGCGTGCTGTCCTGCTGCCGTAGGCGAAGAAATCATCGCCATCATGGCCGTGGTTCCAAGACTCCCCACGTCGCGCCGAGACATCGGTGCTGGAGCCGTCCCATGTCGTAGCCCAACTGGAGCGTCGACCTTGCTCGTCGCCGCGGCGGGGTCTATTCCAATCCCAGTCGTCCCAACCGGTTCTGGAGTCCCACCACGTACCCCCATATGATTGGTCACCCCAATCATGCTCTTCTTCAAGATTGCTGTGTCTCTCACCACCTTCGGACACTTCCCGCTCTGAGGTGGCCGGTTCTGCGTCACCACAGGCTGCAGGCAGCGGGTTGCCGGCAGTTTGCGGGCCACTAGACATTGCGACAGCAAGGATTACAGACCTACTGGAGCACTCCTGGCTCCGCTACCAATTTGAAACTACGGGGCAACTACAGAAAAAACACTGGAAAGCCCGCCTCGAAGAGGCGCGCACGTTTTGCTTGGACCACTTGCCTTCGGTGTTCGACCTGTCAGTATACAGGAGACGGGTTCCCAGGTGAAGGCCCTTTTCTGAAAACGGTATCAGGATAAACAACAGCTTGCGACTCTTCACCATGTAATCGAAAACTAACACAGGGCTTCACAGTTAGAGTTTAGGGTTTAGGGTTTAGGGTTCAGATCAGAGGGCTTTAATGATTTTCTGAAGCTGTAGCATAGGGTTAAAGCCTTGCTACAATTCTTCTACAAGGGTGTAAAGCTTAAGCTCTGAAGAACTAGGATCTATTCTAAGCTCTAGGACAGGACTAAAATTAAATGCGGTGTCTCAATTTTGAGGGTTCCTGGGTGGGTGGGTAGTTTTCTAGGATCGGAATAGCGAGCTCGACTAGAGACTGCTCGATCCGGCGCTGCCGAACCCTAAACCCCGAAACCCTTATAAACCCTAACCCTTAACCCTTAAAAAAGCCCTAAACTCTTCTAAGCCCTAACCCTGAACCCTAAAACCCTAAAGCCCTAAACCCTAAAGCCCTAAAGTCCTAAAGCCCTAAACCCCTAAACCCTAGCTTGTCTTCACAAGGGCCCAGGAGCTTTCCACTCCTATCTCGGTCCATTCGGGCAAACAGCTTCCCCAGGGCTGCTCCTTAGAGTGCCATTCTTGGGCTTAGGGGCTTCGGGTTTAGGGGCTTGTGGGTTTAGGGGTTTGAGGCTTACTGTCGGGGTTTAGGGTTTAGGGCTGTTTGGTGGAGTTTAGGGTATAGGGCTTCGGGATTTAGGGTTTACGAGCTTTGAACATGTTTCTTGAGGGTTTTGGATGTTGGAATGTCTTGGAGGTCTTGGGGTGTCACTCACACCAGATGCTGGAGTAGACATTTTCGTTAAGTGTTCCTAACCCTCCTAAATCCTAAACCTAAACCCTATGAAACAACATGATTTCAGGGCTGCCGAGAAGTGCAGTAAGGCTTCGATCATGTTCGATCTCATCCTCCATCTCCTCTGCCAGGCTTTGAACATCGCTCTGCCGAGATTCTGCAAAGGTATCCACCACCACCGCCACCTTGGTATAGCACTGTTAGTAATCTCAGTTTGGTGTAGACAGGTATAGCGGTATCACCGAATACACTTGGCATGGATATGGCACAGAATAATACGGTCTTGAATCGTGCTACATTACAACAGATATAAGATGGTATAGCTTACTATGGTACAGTATACTCCAACCCAATTCCGAAAATACACACTTTCGAAATGCACCCCATACCTCTCTTCAGCGGAGCCATACTTCTGCTACAAATGCGTCAGTCACGGAGACAACCTTCCGTTTGGCACGCTCAGGGCTTGGGGTGCAAGGCTTAACGTTTAGGATATAGGGCTTCTTTGCTGCATGGCGGCAATAAGGTTCAAAACTCCAAAGACCAGCGTCAATGAAGAGCCAATGAAAATGATGAAAGTTGCTGGATGCTCCTGCGTGAAAGCACTGCAAGCAAGCAATTCGTGGGTTCATAGATGGCTTCAATTTCGGGCCTAATTAAGGGACTTACGGCTCGAAACTGACCGGTGCGGAATCTGAAACCTAACTGTTGCCAGACCTGAAGCTCAGGCTTACTGGGTGCTTTAGCACATTTTCATGACTTGCATGGTTGTTGACGGATGGCACCTAAACCTGCTTGTTCCAATGTTTCCGCGTTGTTATTGATACTATACTACAGGTGCCAGGTTGCTACATGCCAGAAATAAACAACAGGGCAAGGGGCTCGGGACAAGGACCTGGATGGAGAAACAAAAAAAAAACGAAAGCAGCAAGTGTCCTGAATGACGGGAACGGCAATCTCACCCCAAGCATCGCCCGCGATAACTGTCTTGAACAGCAACAAGTTTGCATCCATTACCTTGGCTAGGGTCGAGGAAATGCACGTTACAAAAATATCCTCAACTTTGACTTGCAGAACTTTCTTTAAAGATTCACGCCCTCTACGATTCAAGATTGATGGTTATGGTTGGGGTTTGGGGCGTCTGTTGCCCAAGCTTAAGGCGATTTCAAATGCCACAGGGCGGTAGAGACTGCCTTCGTACACTGTGGATGGCAAGCCTTGAAAAAGTCGCGGTCCATGTCTGCGTGCATCTCCTGGCAAAGAATACGCGCTGAGAAAATTCTAGCAATCGAGTTGACCCGCTTCCGCTAGTAAAGGTAAGCACATTTACTTTCAGAACAGCAAGAATTGAACGATAGGAGTGGCACCCTGGGAATTTTTCAATGTCAAGTAAAGATTCCTTCACGAATGGACTGACCACTTCCACGATCAGCATGGCCCAGACAGTCATCAGTATGTCGGTTGTTTGGCTGCAGCTGGGTTCTGCCAGGCTGCATCCCTCGGTGTGCCTCACTTCTTGCCAGCAGGGCGCCGGCGTTGTGCCAGCTTCTTGGGTTTCAGCCATGCTTGACGCAATCTGAAACCTTTCGGGCGGAAAACAGTACGTGTCCACTTGCCGCGGGCAGCATGTCTAAGGGCCCAACAGTCCTCGACTGTCAGCGACATTGCTTCGAGCACTTGCAGGTCGTGCTTGTGCCTTGGCCATCCAAACCGCGCCTGAAGAGAATCACAAGGAGCGCCCTTCGTTCTTCTCTTACGGCACGTCCAGAAAACATGAGCTTGGTCCGCTGGCTGCAAAGAGCAAAATGGGCATCTAGTAAAATGTGCACTGACGTCAGGCCGCTTGCCAAAAGCGGCAGGGCTCACAAAGGAACCTGTGAGAACCGCAGCGGCGGCTCCCTCCGTGTGGCAGAGAAGGCTGCGCACCAATCCTATCCTTGCAGAATCATAATGCGTGCGGCGGAAAGGAAGAGCATCCCGTCGGCTAGAAGCAGTGAACAGCCTCCACTCCTTATGTCTCCAGGCTTCCCTACAAAAGTGTGCAATCTTCTGGCGACCAGGTAGTTGAGCCCCGAGACTTAGCTTCCACGACAAGCCAAGTTGAGAATGACTCCACGTGCCTCGTTGAAGCTGCCATCCAGTCTGCTGAAGAAAAGCCACAGCTTGTTCACGAAGCTTACTGTGCCTGTGACGGGCAGAGCTCCAAGATTCCTGAGCAACACTCTTGCACCAGAGACAGACTTGCCGCACGCCCACAACGGGCCGAAGGCAGCGAGCCGCTCCGGTCAAAACATTGTGCAGGTGAACCGACCCATCCTTAAAGGCCTCACTTGTCGCACGCAGCGCCTGGTCCAAAACCTTGGCGTGAGAGTCAGAAGGGGAGAAAGCAACCCAGCCGTAGACTGCTTTGCTGATTCCCATAATACGAGCTGTATCCATCTTTGCCTGATGCCCTAAAGGAAGCAAGCGGATGCGGCCGCAGATTAGCTTGGCATCAGCCAGTCGCTGGAGCTCCTTGGGCTGAGCGTCCCTTTCATCGGTCCCTGTAGTGCAGCAGCCCAAGACTACCGCAGAGGCAGTGACTGCCTGCAACAAAACAGGGTCGTCAGCCAACTCCTGCTGCAGCTCTCTGTGGCGCTCAGCATCTGTGTGAGTGATCTGGGTCTTGGCCTCATTCTCACGGAGGCCAGCTCTCCTGCTGAAATCATGCCACGTGCGCAGCGTTTGCACTAACACTGAAGCTTGCTTTGTCGTCCATGAACGATCATCCATGTAAACCACATGCAATCGATCACCGAGCGGAACAGGACATCGTGCTTCCGTGAAGTTGAAACCCGACAGCATAAGGATGTTGAGGGCCAGGGGAGAAAGCGCGTCCCCTTGGGGGACCGACATGTCCGTTTCTGGCAGCTTTGGCGAAGAGCTGGCCTTCCACTGCAGGATGCGCTTCTGGTGTGACCATTGATTCAGCAGGGTGTTCGCCAGCTGAACTGGCAAACCCATGCGAGCCATACCGCGGGTGATGGCTTCCGGGATCACGTGGTCAAAGGCCAGAGTGTAGTCCAATGTTGCAAGAAAACCCTGCTCGGAAAAGGAGTCCTGCAACTTGGCCGCTAACTGCTCCGACCCTGGGCTGCCAATGCCGCCAGTGATAGCAGCGGGCATAACGCGACCCCGCCACACTCTGACGATCTTACTTTTGGCCCAGGCCCCACTCCACCAGCGATACCAAAGCGAGTACACGTTGATGGGACGAAGGTCTGAACTCTTGGTGCTGCCATCACGCATCTTGTGAGGTTTCACTAAGTTGACTTGGCGGCTGTACTTGAGAGCTGAAGGCGTGCAGCCTGCGACCTCCCAGGTCTCAGTAACGGTAGCAAAGAGCTCCGCAACCCCTGGTGGAAGCACTTGCAGCTCTGAGAGGAGCCAGTCGTCGGGACCAGCTGCACCGCCAAGCTGCTGCCAGGCTTCCAGGAAATCCGACGAGCTGGGCCTGCCGTGCAGAGGTTCGTGCTGAGGCAAATAGTCGAGGACGAACGCAATCTTTGGTTCGGCAGGCTCCTGCTTGCAAGCCTTCCAAACGTCTTGCCAGTGCGCAGCCACAGCGTCCAGAACCTCTTGGTCCTTGTTGAGCTGCTGTCCGTTGTGCATGACAGTCGGTCTGAGCTGGGAGTTGCGACCCAGCCACTTGCATCTGGCCTTCAAATCGTGCTGCGTGCTATGCCGCCATTGGGAGATTTGCTGCTGTTTAGAAGCTGCTTCATCCTGGGCTTGTTGCGCTTCGATGGCCTTTATCTCCGCCTCCAGCTCGTCCTTGAAGGGAAGACGAGCCTGGCACAAAGGTATCTGGCACCGAAGACGACGACAAAGTCTTTGCATCTCCAAGCTTTGATTGTTGGAGAGAGTCTCCTTCTGCATCAGCTCGACCATCCGAGAAGCTCGAGACAGCCAGTTGCTTCTCTTGCGCTGCGCCATTGTGCCGGCATCCCTGCGATGACGGACAGGGATCCACTGCATGGTGGGCTCCAGAGGTTTAGGTGCTGAATTCGAGGCTCTCCTTCGCCAGTTGTTCAGGGCCTGGGCGGTCTCGGCGTTGTAAGGCTGCTGAAAGGTCCTTGCGGCGAGGCCAAAGAAATGCTGCAGCCAGTTGTTCCAAATCTCCCAAACCATGTCAACGGAGTGCTGGTTCGGATTGGATAAAGCCTGTAGAACAGAGTCCTCGATGACGTGCTTGTCGTAGTGGGTCCAAGTAGAGGCGAGGGCGCCACTGTGACGTAGTAGCGCCCGGCGGTGTAGTCCAAAAGTGACCACGCTGTCGGACACATCTCCGGACTTCGCGCTCCCAACGCAGAGAAGCAGACACCGAGAGCCACTTATGATCGCTGATCTTGAAGGGCAAAGTCCTGGCGCTGCCAATCGTCCCTGTCGCATTGCTCCAGATCTGGTCGATGTGGCGCGTGCTGTTGTAGCGAGTCTCCTTATGGATAAGGCTGCCTCCGTGCAAGTCGAAGACCGCCTCCATCTCAACTGGTAGCATGTTGTAATCGCCGACCGCCAACCAAGGCCGTCCACCAGCGGACGCTCTGGCACCATGCAGGAGTTCTCCCAGAGTTTGACGTGCCTCATGCTGTATGTGAGCTCGGGGCGGAATGTATGAATTGACCACCAAAAGGGACGTGAGTTCCAGAAGGATGTGCTGATGTGGGTGGCCTGCATACCTCGCCACCAACTTGTGCGGTATCGAAGCACGAATTGCTGTAATGCAGCCACCCGTCGCCTTCTTGCCGGTCTCGCCCTCCGCAAAGTACGCCTTGTAGCCCAAACTTTGGAACTTGGAGAGCACGGTCTTGGACTCCAAAAGTTGCACGCAAGGCTCTTGTACGCAAACGATGTCCGCAATGTTCGGCTCGCCCTCCAGAAGCTTCAGCAGTCGCCACAAGCCCGGCGCATCGCGAACGTTTACTGAAGTCAAAGTTGCAGAGGAGCGCGGGGCTGTGCTTTTTCCGCCTCCACCAGGGTCTGGATCATCATCGTCTTCGCCGCCGTCCTCGCTGTCGTCGGCGACCATTGTCTGAGGCTGAGGTCCAGGCTGCGGCTCCACCCCTTCCTGGACGAGGCGAGAGAAGTGTGAGTCCGCCTCAGCCTTGGTGGTGCCCCAGCACTTGAGGAGCACGTTGGTGTTGGCAGTAGACTTACGGATCTCTTTCCACCGCAGTCTGGCTCGAGGAGTGGGCAAAGAGGACGGGCCGAGGCACTTTTTCCAGTTGTGCTTGTTGTAGTTGCCTATGGTCCGACACGTTGTGCATGTGAACAGGAGTCCTTTGCGAGTCGTGCTCGATCGTTTTGTAGTCCGTGGCCATTCAGCCCAAACAGGCTGGAAGGGGACCATGGTATGGCCTCCAAGTTGGAGATTGCGCTTGCGGTTCGCCTTGTTTTTGGCGGAGACTTTCTTGTAGCCCTCCACGTAGTTGGGGCACTTGGAGCGGTCCTTTTTGAAAATTCTCTGCCTCGCCTTCTGGATGGCACCATTACTGGTGTCCCTGCGCGGGTGCATGGTGTCGTAGTGGTGCCGCACATTCTTCTGCTTCTGATGGTAGTTGGCGAACTTTGGAAGCCACTTGTGGCAGAATGGGCATTCCCAGTCTCTATCCTCCTCCGGTATGTCACAGCTTGCTTCAACGATCGCCGTGCGATTGATGAGCGTGGCCCTGTCCTCCAAGGGGATGTCTTTGTGCCTGAAAAGCATATGCGAAGTTCTCTTCATAGAAATCTTGCTAATGCTGGCGCCAGTAAGCTCAACTTTGCAATGTGGACAAGGCCAAACCCAGGTGCTATCATCGCGTTGCGTAGCCGGTTGATGCACACGACTCGTTCCTGCAAGTCTGGGCCTCTTCACGTTCGCGTCCGTCTCGGCCTTGGCGCGTTTGCAAGAGCGTGAACTCGTAGAAGCCGGAGTTGACGACGATCGTTTAGCCGTCGTGCTTGTTCTAGGCGTCCCCACTGGCATCCAAGGAGCAGGACTATTTCTAGGCGGGGCCATTGGCGTACTTTGCCCCCGCGGCGTGGATGAAGGCATCCACGACGCAAAGGCACCGTCCTTGCTTCCAGAACTAGGCGTGCTCGGCGGCATCCAGCTGGAAGACGAAGCCGAGGTAGATTTGCGAGGCGTACAAGGAGGGTCAACCTCGCGACGAGGTCCACCTCCACGGGGGATGTCACCAAGCTTTTCCGCCAAAGTAGTCCACTCCAAGGGCCATGCCTTTTTGGTGGGAATAACAGCTTGGTAATGCTTGTCCTTCAGGTACAACACGACCGTGTTTGCAAACGTCTGTTGGCAAGGAATCAACACCGCCCTCTTGTCACCGCCATTGTTGACTAACACCGTGATGTTGACTCCCAGTCTGTTGGCCGCTGCTTGTAAAGTTGTCTGGCATATCCACCGCTGCGGTCGTAGAAGTGAGAGAAGCCATCCATCGAATGTGGATGGGACCTCGCCACCCTCAGTCTCGACGCTCCAACGGGGGTCGGCTACCCAATCCTTGGAGTACTTGCCCTGATGTTTGCATATGTGCTGATGAACTTGCTGACGGAGCGTCCGGCCCATAGTTTTGATCTCATCGTCGGAAGGGTGGGCCTTGTCAAGGTTGTTTGACAACCAAAACGCAAAAGCCAGACTGTTGTAGCCGCAAGCCCCTTCCGCGCCGCAATCCTTAAGCGAGTAGCCAAACAAGGAAGGTACATCCTTTGATTTCTTCCTTGGCGGGCTATTCTTCACCGGTGGCTCTCTTTTCTTTGTGTCCTCTGCACCGTCATGTTGTCGTGACTGGTCCATGTTGACATCGTCCTCCAACTGCTTCTCCTCCACCTCCATTTCCTGCGACGTGGTGAAGGGCATCGAGCTTTGCTTTGACCGAAGTTGCCGAGCGGGACGAACGGGTGTAACGCCCACCACTTGCGGGGCACGAGGCGGCACCCTTGTGAGGCACAGAGTGTGGTCCCCCACTTCTACCCCAAGAACTGTGCCCTCCGAGTCATTAGGCGCCTTGGCCTTGATCATCCAAGGCTTTCGGCCCTGCGGGGGAAGAATGATGTGCACATCCGTCCATCCGGCCCCCGAGAGAGCCTCTTGGAGTTCAGCATCGCGAAACCAAGAAGGAGAACCTTGGACTCGCCAGGCCACAGCAGTAGCCGGTGGCTTGGAATCCCCCGTGTATCGGAGACCCAAACACGCTCCTCCTCCTGTGCGGAATGCAAGCGGAAGCTTAGCAGAGTAAGCTTGATTTTTGCACTTCAAGAAATACGTGAGGTAATTGTCGTCCATATTCTTGTCGAGCCATTGCACAGGTTGCTTACAGAATTCACTCTGTTGCTGTGCTAAGGGCCTGCCAAAGATGCCATCCTTGCCGTTGTTGTTCTGAAGCTGCGAAGCCCCGTGCGTCGTCAACTTCGCAAATCCTTCCAGAAGAGTGGTGCGCCGGTCTCCCGATCCTATCGTGGACTGCTTCCATCCATAGGTGCTGTGTATCTCGGGCGCCTCGACCAAAGATTGTAGCGCCCTCTGTGGAGAAGCGTTGATGTGCTGCCACTTGGATTTGTCCACGAACATGGCGGGCACGGTAATCCTGAAAACCTGGAGCTGAATCTCGGTGGGCTTGTGGGTACTCTTGGATACTGGGCTCTTAGGCATAACGGGCAAGTCTTTCACCAGTGGCTGCACGTACAGCTTTTGAAGCGAAGGAGCACTTGAAGAACACACCGTGAAGGTCATCTGAGTTGCACCTCCAGGGTCCTCTTGCGTCAAGATGGCCACCTTACAATTTATGCCATGCAGAGCCGCAAGGTCTCGGCACTGCTTGGCAAAATCCGTTGACCTGCAAAGTGAGGCCGCCCCCGTCGGACATTGCCCTTGCTCCAAGGTTTTGCGAAGGACTTCATCCTCGATGATTTTGTCTGGCCCCCAAGCAGCATGATGCAATGTGAGTTTCGGCTTCGGCTTTCTCCTCACCACCTGTGTCCATGTGTCGCCCTCGTCGGTCTTGGACTCTGTGATGTCGCGCTTGGCCTTGCCCTTGCCCTTGCTCTTGCTCTTATCCTCGTGCTTGTCCTCCTTTCCTGTCGTCTTTCCTGCACCTTTCCCTCCACCTTTGTCTGGAACATCATCTGCACGAGGATTTGGCTTGTCCATGGAAAGTTTCCCCGCCTTGGCCGCTTCCACAATGGAGGTGATTGACTGTATCAGCTTGTCGTGAGGCTTCCGGCTGTAGCGATCCAGGGATTGCTGCAGAGCCTCGAAGAAAGTCTTTTGGTGCTTATCCTTAGATCGCGGGCCTTGTTGGCCATCACTGCGGTCCACACGGAATTTGACCAGGACCTCGGTGATGGCCTTGAACAAAAGGTCACTTTGAGAAGCGGCCTCAACGTGGCCCTTGCCTTTTCCTCCCCCACGAAGGTCAAAACCTTCGTAGTTGTAGTGCACGTGCTGGATGCCTTTTGCATTCACCGAAAAGTTCCCAAGCGGAACCTGGCCAGTGATCACAGAGGGATCCGAATCCACCTTTCGAAGATGGCGCTTTGCAAAAGCTCTTCTGAGACGTTTGAGCCGTCGCTTACGCCGGAATCTAGGTTGATGATACCATCGTCGCCATCGGCAGTGGCGAACGCGTATCCGACCGACCTTTCTGCAAGCCATGATCTTGAACGTCTTGCCCTTCTTCTTGAAACCATTCTTTCGATTCTGCAGAGCACTTTTCGCTGCACTGCAAAGGAAAAGCAGTGCACCCACCCCAGCCGAGGACATAGCCAGGAAGCTTGTCCAGGAGGCAGTACCAAAGGGGCCCCAGACAGTCATCACTACGAAGCACAACAAGAAGCACCAGAGAAGCGCTCGAAAGCAGGTGGCCATCATAATGGCAAGCTTGTACAACTCCCTCAAAGGGCGGATCCGCTTCCTTTGCTTGCTATCAAAACATTGAAAAAGTCCGGCATGTTTGTTGCAGCTTGCATACCAAAGCCAAAAGCACAACAAATCAAGCTGCTTTCAGAGCTCGAAACACAAGCCGTTCGTTTGAAGAGGAAAGTAGCTGTTCCCTGTTGTTTAGGGTTTAGGGCTCGAGGGTTTAGGGTTTTTGGGCTTAGGGTTTAGGTTTTGGGGCTTTAGGGTTTAGGGTTTAGGATCTAGACCCCATTTCAGCTGCTTGAAGTCATGTCCCAGCCGCAACGCACGTGCGAGCCGGAAGATTCGCACCAGGCGCAATGCCCGCAAGACAGCAGTGCGGAAATTGAGCCCTCCGTCGGAAAAGACGAACCCTAAACCCTAAACCCCAAACCCTGAACCCTAAACCCTGAACCCTAAACCCTTGATCCTAAACCATTTAGATTTTAGGATTCGAAGTTTCAGGGTTCGGTCCTGGGGTTCAGGGCTTGGCGCTGAGGGTCTTGGGCTTTAGGTTTTAGGCTTCGGGGTTTGGGCTTTAGGGTCTAGGGTTTAAGGGTTTAAGGTTTAGGGTTTAGGGGTTTAGGGGCTTAGGGGTTTAGGGGTTAGGGCGCAACGTTTTGGAGTTTGGGGTGCAGAAGTTCTTTTGGGCTGGAGGCTCTAGGATCGGACTCTCGGGAGTGATATACCAGACTGTTCTATACTATACTTTACTATACTATACTACGCTATACTCTACTCTACTCTACTACACTATATTATACTATACTGTACTCTACTCTACTCCACTATACTGTAGTATCCTATACGGGTTCAGGGTATGTTCGGCCTCCATCCGAAAAGACGGAGATGATCTCCTCTGCCCAGCCGCAGCCGACGATGATAAGATCCAGCGCCATGAACCTTAGCCGCCCTTAGAACCAAGACAAAATAATAGTCTTATTAATCCCTTGGAGTTATATTATAAAAAAATACAACATAATCCCTAAGAGCAGTAAAGGAACCAGTCACTGAAAGATGCTCTCACGCCGAAGACGCTTAGCAAGGCGGCGATTTCGAGAGTATACGTCACCAGGCAGAGGCTTGAAATCCTAGGTTCTTGTTAAGGGGATTAAATCTAAGTTACCATAATAAGGAAACCATCTTATTTACTATAGATCCCTATTATGGTAACTTAAATTAAAGCCCTTTACAAGAACCCAGAATCAATGAGCTGATCTCCGGTGGTTGGGTACCAGCAGCTGTTGCGTCGATGTCTACACAGGTACAGTACGCATCGACCAGAACCACAGCTGCCATGAAGTTGGCCAGGTAGATGCTTTTGAGGAAATCATTCATCCTGCTCTTTCGGGCGAGGTTTTCCGTGGATGCCTGGACGAACTTGCCGGCCACCTTCATGTTCTTCTTGCCAGCCCTGTCTTTGCTGGGAAGTCTGGATAACTTCGGGGCCCCATCGGATATGTCCTTGGAATCTGTTCCTTCCATTGGGAGCAGACACCCTGGGGCTGGCTAACACAACATGCTCGCCGGCATCTGAGCCAAGCGCAGACAGAACCAGCGTGTCAGAGCCGTGGGAGTCCTGAACCCTGCCAGCCTTACCCACAGCACCGGAGCGACACCCTGCATGGGCCCCATGCGCACCCTAAACCTGAAGCCCTAAACCCCCAACCGTGACCTTGAAACCCTCTAATCTACGCACTTCCGGGGACCAGCAGCCAAGTTCACCTCGGTGCTTGGGAACATCTGCATGAAACAAATTTTCACCGCGTCTTCCTTGTGTTCAAGTTGCGGGTTTGGCGTTGAAGACCCAGCATGAGGAATCCAAACCGACCCCACGCCAGCTACGGGGCTGAGGGTATCGTTTCGGGCTTAGGCGTTAGGGGTTCGGGCTTCAATTTTGAGGGCTAAGGATGAGGGTGTAGGATTTAGGGTTAGGCTTTAGGGTTGAGGATGGGGGGTTCAAGCAGGCACCCTCGAGTACCAAGGTGCCTCCAGCAACTCACCATGGCTCGAGGCGCCATGTCGTGCCGCCGTGGGCAACAACGAACGATATGGTATAGTACGGTATAGTATAGTACATAGTTTGTAGTATAGTACATACAGTATAGTGTAGTATAGCATAGCATAGTATAGCATAATATAGTATGAAAGGAAAAGCTCTAGAGCTGCGGAGTGCGACTTCTAAGCTATTCGAAAAACAGTGGTCCTTGTCTTCTTCGCTTCTGACCTTCTGACGTAATCTTTTCAAACTTCTTTACAAGAATGGTTCGCAAAATTGTCCTAAACCCTAAACCCCAAACCCTAAACCCTAAACCGTTTTAGAGTTTCTACTTCGGCTTGGTCGGGAGGATTTGCCACGCCTGCAGCAGGAGACCCGCGATGAGACTGCGAGTTCTACATTGGTCAGCCATGGCCCGCCCATGGCCCAAGTCAGTCTACGGGGTTTAGGGGTATAGGGTTTAGGGTTTAGGGCTTAGGGGTTAGGGGTTTAGGGTTTTGGGTTTAGGGGTTAGGGGTTTGGGGTTTGGGGTTTAGGGTGTGTCCCAAGTCAGTCGGTCGTGACTGCCCTTAAGTCTTTCCTGCCCCACGCAAGCGCCGCGAGAGTCTGTACTTCCTGCATTGGCCTCCGGCAGTTCAGCCAGCAGTTTTGCTGGTATGATGTCCACAATGGCGGCTGGACCACTGTAGTCTGGAACTAGGGCTACGAAGTATGATTCATACAACTAGATCGCGATGTGACTCCGCCCGCTACAGTACGAGTACTACGGGACCCGAGACCCCAAGCCCTAGACTAGACCCCTGAACCGAAAAGCTTGAGGCAGGAGCTCAACTCTGAAGCTCTCCTCCCCCACACCCAGGATACTCTAGGGTTTAGGGTTTAGGGAATTAGGGTTCAGGGTTTAGGGTTTATAATATCCTGGCATTCAGAGGCCGACAGCGGCTGCCCAGTGCAGGGCGGCCCTTGGAGAGCAGGCTTCTGGCCTCGGAGCGCCATCACCGGGTTTAGGGCTCTGTGGTGTTAGGGTTTAGGGTTTAGGGGTTTAGGGTTTAGGGGTCTGTGGTTTAGCGTTCAGGGTTTGAGGCTTTAGGGTTTGAGGGTTTAGGGTTTCGGGTTCTGTGGTGTTACCCTAGGATTTCCACTTAGGGTTTAGGGCTCCTGGGTTGGAGGGCCTGCTGGGTGGATTTAAAGGGTCAGGATAAAAGAAATCGGAGCCCACAGGACAGTTCGTAGGACTCGGAGCCCGAACCCTTAAGCCTAAACCCAGACCCCCCTGCATCCGAAACACTCACAACCCCAAGCCACATACCCTGAAGCCACAAGATGCCCCTAATCCCCAAAATATGCCCTAAACCCTCAAGCTTGTAGACCCTGAGCCCCCGAAATATGCCCGAACCCTCAAGCCTATGAACCCTAAGCCTCGTGCCTTCACGGTCGCCCTGGTGGATCCTCCTTCTCCTTGCTCTTCTCGCGAGACCGTCCCAGGGAGAGAGTTGAAATGCCACTCTCCCCGTACCTGGTGGCTTAGGGTTTAGGGTTTAGGCCTTAGGGCTTAGAGTTTAGGGTTTAGGGCTTGGGGTTTAGAGTTTAGGGCTTCGGGCTTCGGGCTTAGGGTTCAGGGCTTAGGGTTTAGGGCTTGGGGTTTAGGGTTTAGGGTTTAGGGACTCTCCCCGTACCTGGTGGCTTAGAGTTTGGGGCTTGGACTTTCGGGTTTGGGGCCTGAGGGGTTTAGGGCTTAGGTTTTAGGGTTCAGGGAGCCTACCGTCAACCCTGAAAGCTGTGTCGAGACGCGAGGTGGCTTTCTCGATGAAGGCTTCAGTCGAAGATTTGAGGAAATTTGGGACCGGAGGCATTCGCTGTTTTCATGGACACATCACCTGAGCGCCTCCGCTGCGAAACGCCAGCCGAAAGCCCTGAATTACACTGAACCGAAAGCCCCAAACTTTTTGCTTTAGGGCCGTACTATATTTGGGACCTCAACAGGGACCTAATTCAGAAAATTGCCCACCTAGTCGGGGGTAAAAGGTGAAATCGAAGTCCCAAACCCGAAAACCTGAGGCAAAAACATGAAAAGCAAAAGCCTTTAGGTGCGTTTATTCAGCCTTTGACACCAAGAGTGGGTTAGAGTTAGGGGCCGGCACGAGTAAAAATGTCGCCGGTCTGACATCGGCGCTTCGACGACATTTTTTGCACATGGCGTGCGAGTCTTCTGTGTGCCGCCGCTCGCACCACCTGCACAGTTCACCATGAGACCTTCCTTCCAATATCGGGGCCTGAATAATTAGAATCGGGTTTCAGGTTATACTATACTATAACCGCAAAAATAGCATTGGGAATTATTGAGGGCCTTGTATTACACAGGCTTCAGAAGATCCTGCACAGCACTACTGTCACCACCATCGACAGCCCTACCCCAGGTCACGACGGATCCATCGGCGGCAAAAGCGTAATCAGAGCCTTGGATCTGCTGCACGTTCTTTAGCTGATCCTGCACGGCACTACTGTCAACACCATCGGAAGCCCTACCCCAGGTCACGACGGATCCATCGCCAAGAATGGCAGCAAAAGCGGATTGAGAGGCTCGGATCTGCTGCACGTTCTTCAGCTGATCCCGGACGGAACTGCTGTCACCACCATCGGAAGCCCTACCCCAGGTCACGACGGATCCATCGGCGAGAATGGCAGCAAAAGCGAAACGAGAGGCGTTGATCTGTTGCACGTTCTTCAGCTGATCCTGCACGGCACTACTGTCAACACCATCGGAAGCCCTACCCCAGGTCACGACGGATCCATCGCCAAGAATGGCAGCAAAAGCGGATTGAGAG